TGGGACTGCTCAAGGAACTGTCAATGACTGCATTCCCCTGACCAACCCCCCCACTGAGACCCTAATCACCTCAGAAATAATGAACCATTTGTTATGTAAGTACCAAAATCTGGTTAAATTGGGAATTGAGAACCTGTTGCAACAAGGTCCAAAAGAAACCCCTATGGAATTTTTGGACCAACTTTGAAATGCAATGGAAAAAAAAAACAAAACAAAACAAAACTTGGACCTGGCTTCAGAATACAAATAGAGGCAATTGGCTAGCCTCTTTCTAGGGCAATTGGCCTCTGATATCAGAAAGAAATTGTCTTAGGCTGCAGGATAAATAAAAAAAATGGAATGATGGGTCCTGGGGCATCTACTCTAGCAGGTCCACTAGTTGAAGAAAAACTAGGAAATGAAGAGAGAGGCTTGAATTTTTTGTTGGTTATGGGATCTTCTTTCTCTGTGTTAATTAGTCTGTAAATGTAAGAGGAACAACTGGCCAACAGGAAAAGGTGTTTTTTTTTGTTTGTCTGTTTGTTTTTGCAATGCTTGAAATTTAATTTGGGAAAAATGATTGGAATTACAAACTGAGAAAAACAGTCAAGTTTGGTTCATGGTACTAGATTTACAGGATGCCTTTTTCTGCCTGCCCATGGTAACTGAAAGCCAGAAACTCTTTGCCTTTGAATGGGAAAATCCTAATAGAGGATGGAAAACTCAGCTTGCTTGGACAATGTTACCACAGGGGTTCAAGAATAGCCCCACCATATTCGGGAACTGTGATCTTGAAGCTTGAAAGACCCCTTCCAGAAAAGGGGACACTGTTGCAACACACAAGTGATAGCTACTGAAGAAGAAAAGGAATGTGTATATTGGACTATTAGTTTACTATTTTTCTTTATTATTATTATTATTATTTTTCACTAATACCCTGAACACAGCCTTTTTCCTTAGTAACAGAGTTTACAGATTACCCATTCATGACTGCATCAAGACCATGGACACGGTATACTCCCATTGACCAGACTTAAAGGATACACCCCTAGAAGATGCAGAGGATTGGTATATAGATGGCAGCAGCTTCATCTGCCAGGGACTTTGCCTCACAGGATATGCAGTAACAAACATCAGCCCAAAAAGTGGAAATCATCACCTTGATAAGAACTTTTGAGCTGGCAAACATTTGGACAGATTTGAAATACGCCTTTGGTGTGGTGTATGCACACGGGGCAATTTGGAAGGAGAGAGGACTTTTATCTTCCTCAAAAAAGACATGCAGAAGAGATACTGAAATTACTCTGAGCGCTATACCTGCCTACTAAAGTTGACACTAAAGGACATCAAGCAGGGGATACTGATATTGAAAGGGGAAATAGATTGGCTGATGCAGAAGCCAAAGGGGTGGCAGAACAGGCATCTGAAAGTCAAATTTTGGCACTAGTACCAGGAACAGCAAACAAAACCCATTAACAAAAGCTTTAGAAAATAAAGTAGAATATTCTAAGATGTAAACAGAAAAACTTACCTACAGGTTTAATGTAAATAAATTATGGGAGAATTGTGATACCATATTAAATTGAATGGTAACTGCAGAACGTAATGAAGCATGCTGGGGAGCTGAAGTAGCGTAAGAATATTTAAATAGAAAATGGATAGGGCCTAATTTGGATGCCACAGTGACAGGTAACTCAGCAATGTGATCTTTGTCTCCAGAGTAATCCCAAGAACACTCCCATGCCAAAAATGGGCCAAATTGGAAAAGGTAATGGGCCTGGACAACAACAGCAGGTTTTTTTCACCGAACTCTCAAGAAAAGGGGGGTACCGGTATTTACTGGTATTAACTGACACCTTTTCAGGATGGCCAGAAGCATTTCCAACCAGAACAGCCAAGTCTCAGGAGGTAATTAAGATACAAGAAATAATACCTCGTTTTGGAATTTCAGCAACTATATCCTCTGACGGGACAGAAGTGGTACAACAAATTAGCTGCCATCTGGGTATAGACTGGCAACTTCATACCACATATCGCCCTCAGTCGAGTGGCCAAGTAGAAAAATGAACCACTTAATCAAACAGCAAATTGTGAAATTGGGACAGAAAGCAAGTTTGGTCTGGCCTCAGTCTCTTCCTTTAGCCGTTTTGCATATACAGGCAAAGGAAGGGCTAAGCTCCTTTGAAATCTTATATGGACAACCCTATGGAATACAAAGAGGAATATCCATGCAAGTAGGGGATGAATTAATGACCTCCTATATGGTGGTCTTAGGTAAACAGCTCAATGAAATTGGAAAGCATGCGAGTGGGACTCTGGGTAGAGGATTAGATGGACTGGTGCACAATATACAACCTGGAGATTATGTGTATGTAAAGTCTCTTGCAGAGAAAACCTTGAAACCGCAATGGGAAGGACTGTTCCAGATACTCCTTACCTCTTTAACAGCCATCAGAATCAAGGAGCAGAATGCCTGGATCCATCACACTAGAATGAAAAAGGCACCCAAGGCCCCATGGAAGGTTACTCAGGTGTGACCTGGAAGGTTACATTTCTCATGGTCTTAATGGTATCATTGGTCAAGGAAGCTGAACAGTGGGTGCACAATACCTATGTGAAACTCACAAAGGCAATGAGTGATAAGTTTCGTCCTTTCTGACTGTTGGGTGTGCACAGTGCTGCCTAGAGGCAACCTAGAATTATGAATTGGATATTGACCTTTGCGCACCCAAGAAATGGAACATGTCCATTTGGGAAGGATGATTGTGAACATCTAGGGGAGAGATTTGAACTACTCCCACACAAAAATGTTAACATATAACTTTTAATCTTACTAAAATTTGAGATTTTGGTGTAGATGTCACAATATGTGCTGATTAAAAAGGCAGGATTTCACAGCCTCAATTCTCTCACACAAATTTGCAAGCTACAAAAAGGATTCTATTGGCTATGTGGAGATGGGCATGCTAGAAAAAGCTTACCCTTAAATTGGAAGGGTCATTGTGTCAGGGGCTGTTTTAGCCCTCGAGGGGGTATATTCACTGAACCATGTCCGGGAGTAGTCTGGACCTTATGGAGACAAACACATACTGTTTTGAATAACCCCCTTGTGATGGGACCCACAGGATTCCATAGTTTTATAAGGTAGTTGATTCCATCCCTGGGAATAAGCGAATTAGGAAAAGCTGTCATAAATATCTCAGCCACATTAGAAATTACTGAAAATGCCACAGCTGATGCTCTTTCAGCATTACAGGAAGAAATTTCCTCCCTACACAAAGTAGTGCTTCAGAATAGGATGGGATTAGATACACTTTTAGCCAAGGAGGGAGGATTATGTACAGTCATAAACCAAACTTGCTGTGTATATGTCAACAAACAAAAACAGATTGAGACTGACCTGGAGAAGATTTGGGAAAATAATAAAATTTTGCATGCAGTAGCTCAAGATGATACATCCTGGGGATTTACACACTTGGTAGAAAAATTAAATTCCTGGTTGCCAAACCTAACCTGGCTGAAACAGTCGTTTATCACGGTAATCGTGGTTGTGGTTTTGTTCATGGTTCTTTGTGTAGTGATCCGATGTAAGAGTACAGGAAACTCCTACACCAAGTGGGAAAAGAACCAACTCAGATGGAAACTGGAGTCTAACAGATATTTTGAAGGAGTGTTAGATAGAAAAATACTATACTGAACCTAGAAATAGTAAAAGAATTTACTAACTTTTTAGAAAAGGGGGGACTGAGAGAGGGAGTTAGGAGAATACAATAAATCACTAACCTTTTAGAAAATAATTTACTAACTTTTAGAAAAGGGGGAACTGAGAGAGGAAGTTAGAGGAATCTGATCAAGTAGAGATAGAGTGATAGCATGAAACTAGGATGCTCAAATTAATTAAAGCAAGAAGCATTGGGCCCCTTTAACAAGGTCAGTCTCCTAGTGTGAGCCTATCTTAAGAAACTGGTCCTGCGGATGGACAAGAGCCAAGGAGCAACTGAGTCTGCGCAGAGATAAGAGGTCAACTAGCGTTGACGAGGAAGTCTCATCAATCTTCATCCCCATGACCCCCAAAGACCACCACCAGAATACACTGTGCAAGTGCAGATGGGAGGAGTTTATGGAAATGACTCCTTGGAACTAATTTTAATATGAAGCAGGGACAGGTTATGAATATAGGCATATACAGGTTATGCATAGGCATAATATGAAACTTCATGCATACGTGACTCTTCACTGCATATAACCATGGCACATTGCCGCGTCAGGTGCGCATGACTCTGGCGGGACTACTCCCTGTGCTGCCCAGTGCTGAATAAACATACCTACTTTACAATCTTACTGATTGTGGAGTCTGTTTTCCACAAGTCAGAAGAGTTGAACTTCTCACCTCGTTTCACCTCCTTTCCTTGTGCATGCTCTCTGAGTCCTTGGTCACAGTCTGAACCATAACGTTGGTTTGATCGGTTCTCGGGGTCCCAGGGACTCCTGTTATCTCGGGGTCCCAGGGACTCCTGTTATCTCGAGGCCTAAGAGCGGCACAACCACAGTGCATTGCAAACGTAGCACATGCATGTACTAAGCAATGAGCATTGTCTACATATTCATTCTTAATCAGTTGTCCTCTAATTTCTAATCCCATGTCTCAGTATCACTGAATTCTAGTAATTTTTCCTCAGTCATACAGGATAGGGAAGACCATCATCAGGACTGGTCATTGCAGCTAGCTTAGTTGTTTTAGAGGTTTATTAGGCAACCTAATATACTTCAGTAAAGCTACTTACTAGCATGAAAAACAGGGCATGTAAATCACCTACATTTAGTTCTTTCCTCTTGTCAGAGACATTCAGAACAATGGTTTTCAAATGATTTTCTGTGACTTCATCCTGTCTTCTAGGCTTACTCTGCTTACACAATGCTTGAGGAGGAGGGGATAGAGAAAAGAGAAAGGTAAGGTAAAACTAGGTATTAATTTTTGTAATCTTTTGTTCCTTAATAGTATCAATTGGAAGAAATTATAATCTTTTCAACGAGTATTTATTGCACCGAGAATTTTTTAAGAACTTTATGTAGTACATCAAGTTTATTCTGAGTAATCACACTTTTCCCTATGCTCATCCATTCAGGTATTCACAAATTCCTGTGGTATTGGACCAAGACAGTAAAAAACTCAACAGCACTGAAGCATCAAGTGCACATTCAGGATAATATTACTTAATGTAAACTTTCTATTGTGACAGGTATTTCATTATTTCATGTAGTGTTAAATACTAGCAAAAAGAAAGGTGGCAGCAAAGAAACCTTGTGTTTCTACAAGTATCAAAATTCCAAAAGTAACCAAGCTATCAATTTCTGTTTCACTGACCATGAAAACGTTTTGTAAATGTATAAGAAAAAAAAATCTCATAGAGCTTCCATACAATATTCCTTGAAAATTTCAAGTCTAAGCTCTAGTTCATGTGCTAATAACATGCATTTAGTATGACTAAAAGTAAATAAACAGGTGCTCTGAGAAATAACAGGTTTATTGTGCTTAGAAGTGTGTCAGTTTGGAATGGAAAGTCCCGGCAACCTGCATCTTAACAATACAGTTCACGTATCTCAGATTTTGAAAAAACTAATTAGATGCAAAAACTTTTTCATAGCACTGTATCTCAGATTTCCAGCTGAACACAGTTTTATTTCCAATAATTTGTTTTCAGGTGCCAGGTAGGTGAAACCTCCTCAATAATATGATGATTACACTTTTTTTGGTGTTAACTGATGCTTTGTATTTTGCATTATTCTTTAGAGGAAAGTATCACAGTTTATGAGCAAAACTACAACAAACCTTTTAGTAAACTTATTCAGGGACTAGTTTCAAGTATTTATGGTTACTTTAAGAATTAATTACAGTGCCTCGTAATTGCTTTTGTTTGAAATATTTTCTTTGAAAATGCAGCAGTTCTAACAGTAAGAATTTTGAGCTTTTTAACTTATAATAGCGCATCTCACTTTCTTCTTAAAAGTTACATTAATACATGAACTGGAACAGTATTTAGAAAAAAATAATTCTAGTTTTTCCACAGAAAGAAAGTAGCAAAGTAACTCAGTTGGAATATTTGGTTGTTTAAATCAGTCTTAAGTTTGTTATTACTATTCAAGTTCATTCTTGAATGAATGTCATTGAATTCTTGAATGAATGTCATTAGTATTCAAGTTCAAAGGGATTGCAGGGTACTGTTCTTTCAAGTGAAGCTTGCAAACACCAGCACTTCAGCTGCATGAAGTTCTCTGCATTTTTTTTTTAGAAAAGTGTAATAATATTCATTCAGACATCTGTAATTGAAATATGTACAACTTCATGCATACTTTCACTTGTTTGACTTGTTTATGTATACTGTTACTTGTGGATTCTGTATTTTATTTTAAAAGTTAAAATTCTTAGTGATTAAGAATTAAGAACCTTAAGGGATTCATGTAAGACTAATGTCTTCTCTAAAGAGCACACAAGTTATTAATATTTTTTATGATTAACTAGAATAACTTAGACATTTAAACAACTATTTTCTTAACTAGTGACTGACAAATATGAAACTTATTTCTTGCAGTAACAATAAACTGTTAGTATAATTGAACTGTGGTGAAAATAGAAGTACTAGAATTACAGACAAATGGAGGCAGATAGGGTAAGTTTATTGAAAGGTTCTTAATTTTAGTTTTACCTATTATGTTTTGAATTATAAGAGCTGTCTTCACAGCACAAGGAGTAGAATTGAGTTTTGTTGTTGGTTTTTTATTTTTAATTAATACTTCAGTGTGGTCATTTAGAAATTCATGCATCTGACTTCTTGCTTGACTTCTGGTCATTATGCCTTCAAGGCTTTGCAGGAAAGCTGCTGGCAAAGCAAAAGTATTTTCAAGGCTGGTTGCAGACAAGCCCAGCCATGCAAGATTCAAGTACTTAACAGTGGAATGTGGTGTAAGTTAAAAATTCAAAATGTATCTATTCTGTATCTATACACTTTCACTTTTGTCAGAATTAGTCAATAATAGGTACTTTGGGACATAACTTTTTAGTAAAATGTAGTGAGAAGGGAACTTTAAGACATCAATAAATGCAGATGCAAAAGCAGAAATTTGTATTAAGACTGTAGACAAATGCAAGAGTAGAGTCATTTTCAAGTAGCTTCTTTGGACAACATGCAATATTAAAATTGCAGGAAAGACTTGATGGACTGCTAAGCCATTGCAAGTATTGACATCTTTCTCATTTGATATGCTGTCTTCTGAGAGGCGTGAGAGAAAAATATTTTGTATGATCAGCTCATTTCTGCAGCAGAGGATTCCTCCTTACTATCATATCATTTGGGTGATAATGAAAAGACAAGTAGATTGTTGAAGGAAGGCTGTAGACAAAAAACAAAGCCTGGAGTCAGAAAGGCAATTGATATGCAGTAATGTAAGCTAAAAAAAAAAAAGCATAATAGACTAAAAATACAGCAGGAGCCCTCTTACTTGTTAAGAAATATTTGGAAAGAAGGAGATAAGAGGTCATTCTCTATATAGAGTTTTCCTTGTGGTCAGAGGTGTACCACACTTCATGAAGCCAAGATCGGATTAAGTTAATGAAACTTGGCCACTTCAACTGCATTTTCAAGTATACCTTGTCTAATTGTATTTTAACCATACAAAGTAAAGCAGCAAGTAGAAATCACATTTTTCCTTCTTTGAAGCACAGGAGAGGTATGATTGTTTGGTGTCTACTTAGAATTCCCAGTCTGTTTCATGTTGATTTGTAGTAATGTATCCAAGTTCAGTCCCAGCTGCTGCTGAGGGCAGTGCCAAGAGCCCTGATCTACTATTTTGAATAGGAGGCGGTAATAGGGACAGTAGTGAACTCTGTGTTTGTTCTTTTATCTAGAAAAAAGAAAAGAAACAAAAAAGGACTGCCCATAAATCTGAATAACTTTGTATCTGACCATTAAAAACACATGATATCTTAGAGTCATGTTCTTGCATGTTACAATACTGAAAGCAACAGGAAAACAGGTTTACCTTTCCTTATTCTAGAGAAAATTGAATTAGTCTTTCACAACTGATCACATTACCTATGCAATTCTTCTGCTTTAAATCATAATATTAACCATTTTTCTTATTAGTTAGGCTGACTTACAATAAAATAAAAACTGTCTGAAGTAAATAGGCTGTTACCTGCTGCTTTTTGCTTTCAGCTGATCTAATTATTCTGTAATCCAACTTTAAAATTGTGACTTATTTAGATTATAGCTGCGTCATTTAATGAAAGTTTAGTAAACTCACCTGCTTGAAGAACGTATGCGAAAGCAAACTGCTCGCTGATGGCCTGGAACACAGAATGAATGATACAATTACATTTTGAGATGTTAAATACTACTTTTGTAAACAGGGCTAGGTTGACAAGTCAGTTTCAGCTGCGTGGTTACTTCTCCACAGAACAAATGTGAAGCATGAGAAAGGCAGCACAGAACTCTTAAACTCTGTGCCTCAATTTATAGCAAGGACACCACTAAACAGATCAGTTTAGTTTTAATTTTAATTTTTCTGCTGAACAAAGAATTTAACATCTCATTCAGAAAAGACATCGTACTGAAAACATGTACTTCAGTTTGTTGTTTTTTCTTGGACAGAGTGCAGGTTTGAAAATTAAACTTGCTGAACCACCATACAAAGTACACCCATTGTAAGAGATTCAGGCCTGGGGGATGTCAAACAAGCCTGTAAAAGCACAGTTCCGTTACCAGGCATAGTCTTAAAGTACAAGAGCAATGTTAAGTATAGCATTTTGTAGAGTAATTCTGGTCTGAAATTCCAATTTTAACAGCATTCAACTAATTATTGTATCCTAAACTGTGAGCTATACTTAGACTAAGACTAACGTGACAGAAAATTAATTTTCACCAGAAGATTACCTTTTCTCAGGGTCCTGTTGCAAACAAAGTTCTACCAAGTTGTGGAAAGCAGGGGAAAATGTTTTGGAAAAGGGAATTTTTAGTCTTTCACTGGTCATTGTGCGTGTCATACTGTCACCAATTCCAGAATCAACACCTGATCGGGAATTCCTCATCCTGGATTCCCCATGGGGGAAGGTATTTATATCCCAAGGACAATATGCAGGACCTTTCAGTTTTTGCAGCAGCATCTAGTAGAAAGGAACATCATTTAGAAGATTCCAGCACCTATCTAGACCTACACATGCTATGCTATCAGGCTTCAGAAATTGATTATTTGATCTAGCAAGAAGCATGCATGTTCGAAATAACTAAAAGCAGACATCATTTCATCAGTAATAGTACTGATTTGTCTCAAAATAAAATCTGAGTTTTTTGAAGTAGAGATTAGTTCAGCATCATACCTGAGTGCGAGGCATATCTTGAAATGGAACATGTCCATTGGCTAATTCACATGCTGTGATTCCCACACTGTAAATATCAGACTTCATGTTATACCCACACAAATCCTGTAAGAGGAATAAAACTACTGCATCACTAAAGCTATTGATCAATACAGACAAAAATATATCTACCTGTTAAAATATTTTAATATTCTGTAGCCTACATAGGATTGAGGCAATCAACAAATTGTGAAACCTCAGGCATTTTTCAAAAATCTGATGTTTTACCGAAGAGAATTTTTAGGCTCTGCACTAGTTTTCAGGAAGAAAGTCAGCTGAAGACATTCAGTTGTACAGCACCTCCTTACTAATGGCTTTAAAACCTGTTCTCTTTTGGAAAACTAAAAATTCAGCACATCTGTTTTGTTCTGTTTTGAAGTTGCAGTTCAACAGCTTCTATTGCACTTCCACAAGCAGACTTAAGCTAGAAGTTGAGTACTTCCAGTAACTTTGAAATAGGAAGAATGAAGTGTTATTTATACTGACCTGTCTCAGTAGTTCAGGACTCAGCCAAGGAAGTACAGATGTACTAAACTGGGGGAAATCATAAACCACCTTTGACTTTTGTCCATTGTTAACTAAACTGTAAAGATTGTTTAAACCAGAGAGAGAAACCAGTCCATCCCCTGAAATCAGAATGTGGCTAGCTTTAATATTCCTGTAACACAAAGTTGCAAATTTTAGTTACACATTACTCAAAGCATCACTAAAGTAGAAAGGCTTTCCTATTTCATTAGCTTAGATTGAGATGTTTACCTTTGGTTCTAATTATCAGATTAATTTCATGATAGGTCTTCACTCAGTATGAGATGTCTTTTTAAATACAGCCCAAAAGAGAGGAAAAGAGGCTGGCAAGAAAAACTGATTGCCAGAAACTGGAGAAGGGCCTTCCTTTCTGGCAAAGGGTGTAAAGTAAGAAAGTTACTTCTATAAACTCTCATTCTCTTCAGCTTCAAAAACAAAGCCAGACAGACATACACAATGATTTAAATAAGAGGACTGATGTTACAGAAATACAATCCCTGTACCAGCTGTCTTTAAACAATTTGTGGATATCTGTTCTTGTTAAGCTCCTGCAAACTTGGTTCTGCTGTATTATTTAAAAAAAAAAAAAAATGCTCCTGCACTATGTGTGACATAAGAAGGAATACAGAAAAAGGAAGGGAGACAACATGTGAGATGAAAATGGGTTTTGAAGTGAAACTAAGTTCTTAAAAACTAGATACTGTAATCTGATTCTTACCTATGGCACTGACATTCTCCTACCTGTGAATGTAGCCGTTCTGGTGCATGTAATTTAATCCTCTGATTGCACCAAACAGAATGTTCCCTATCAAAGCTTCACTCATTCCTTCAGGAAAGTAAGTCTTCAGCAGGTGTCTAGCAGAACCTAGAAGAGGAGGGAAAAAAGCACTAACTAAGCCTAACAAGCCTTGTTAAACTATTTACCTATGCTCGCTTCCTTGTATGCATTCACAAGAGTGATATTCTTGTTTTTATAATGCCTATGGTACATCAAGAAAATTTACATGGATGCATCAGCTGCATCCATCAAAGATCACAGTCAAGTCATGCTGGTAACTGAAAGTCTATGCCAAACCTGCACTGAAAACAAACAAGTTGTGTTGGCAAAATTAAAAGTTCTGTAAAGATAAATGCATCTCCCAGTTATCATTCCACACATTGTGGCTGTTAGGATTAAGTACAATTTAAGTTCAAATGCCAGTCTTTGCTGGGGAGAAAGATGATATACAGAAGGCTTCTCTAAACAAGTGGTTTAGGAAGTTGTGCTCCACTCCCTTCTTCGGTACAAGACAGGAGATGCTTAAAAAAAAAAACAACCTCATGAACTGTGTGGCATAAACTGTATAAGTCCTTTTTTTATTACTATTCCTAAACTGCAGTTAACAGTCCTTACCATAGGCCATGAATGGAGAAATGATCCAAAGCCAACTACCAGCTGTAAACACAGTCCAAAACGTCATTACATTGGGATGCTGGAAAAAGTGGGATAAAACCACCTCATTCTATGGAATTAAATGAAAATGAATATGTTAACCACAAGAAATCTGTCTTACTAAGAGCCTTAATTATGTCAGTAAGTGGTAGAAATAACTGTTCCCTTTGGACATTTATACTGAGTTGCAGGTGATGTGCGTAGCCTGCAATAGAAATCCAAATAGTTTGTGTATGACTGCATTTGTCTGAAGTCAAGTCTACTTTATGAAGTTTTGCTGTTATATGCAGAGCACAAAATGCCTTTCAAAAGAAAAGTTGTACAATTGTGAATATTTCTAAAACATTTGACAATAGTTTCTTCAGAAAGTAAATCGCCAATTTATACATGCCTCGTGCTGTGCCTTTGAAGTGAAAACCTGTCCTAAATGACCCAGTAAAAACACAAAGGCTACCTCTGTTTAGTGAACTCCTATCTGTTCATCAGTACCTTCACCAAACTAGCACCGAACTACTGTTGCTTTACCTGTAAGGCTTTCAAATGCTCTTCAGAGCAACTTTCTAGGTCTGTGATCCTTATAGCAACTTGCATGCCTGTAGGTGTATGCCGTGCAAGGTAGACTGAAGTTAAGTTGTTGAATCTCCTTCCTGAAACCAGAAGTGGATACCTTAACAATGGAAAATGTAATAATCTACCACATATTTTTCTTCATATTTAGAGATCATTTTGCAGTTACACTTTACATCACTTTTAGCATGCACATTAGAATAAACACACATGCACAGTAGGATTCAGTGCAGACATCCTTAGGACAATCAACTCAAGTAGCCAAATGGTAAGAGATGATGTTAATGCTGTATTTATTGTTCACATACCATAAATTTAAAAAAAGAGATGTCCAAATGCACAAATATCAAAAGAAAATTTCAGATAACCGTTGATTTCTTATATTTTAAAAAAGTGAGAGCTGAAACATGAGAGCTGTTCTGTGCTTCTCTCAACTAAGTAGACACAAGATTAATTCTAGTCAGCTGATAATGCTTTTTCTGAACTTAATAAATATTTACTGCATTTAGTAATAACCTAGTGAGAGAATGCATCTGCAAGAACAAGAAATATTTTAAGTTATGCTTATATTACCTATTTCCACCTGGAGTTCATAGTGAGAGACATTAGAAGAACAAAATATCATTTCATTCCCTCCTGTAGATGGGGGAATCCAGGCTAGTTCAGAATCAGCCTAACAGTGGGGAAAAACACAGTTCTCAGAATTACCATGTATGTTTATTTGTTTAAAATAAATGCAGAAATAGCATTAATCAGAATGCTAAGATCAAATACTCAAATCAGCATATTCAAGACAGTGCTTTTACCACTACACTGAGTCTTAGATAAATAAGTTACTGTGGTGTTTTGTTGTTGTTGGTTTTTAAACTACTACAAGATTAAGAGTAATACTTAGTCACCTTCTTCTGAAGTGGAAGACCTGAAGTACTGTGGTTATTTTTCCTGAGTTTTTTGTTTGCTTGTTTTTTTAAGATGTGCCCCGAATGAAATAATTTTTCACATGTACAGCTTCATATTTTAACTTTGCCAGTTAACTTTTTTTTCTTCTTACCAGGCATTCATGAATGCTGCTCTGAGATTGCTTTTCTGGTCTGAGTGACTCAACTGGTGTACGTAGAATACAGGAACAGTCCTCGAGAACAGAAACAAGTGAGTGTTGGTGGACTTGCTGCAATTTATTAAACATGGCAATGGGAAAACATCGGAAGTAATCCCTATAAGTTCAGAAAGTTTTCTACTACAAGCAGTTAAGAAACAACACAGAGCATATGGCAGACCCAGAACTAAACAGTCTCCTTTCACAAAAGGAGATATAACACCACTGTGGAAATCCCCTCAGGTATGACAGAACTGTCTCACTTTCAGGTATGACTGGGTAACAAGGTACAACGGTCAAAGACTCTTAAATACAAACTTACCAAACAAGACATGGAACCTCTTTAGATGAGGGGAAAAGTCATATACACCCATTTATCCTAGAAAGATTAAAGTAGCAAGAACATAAGATTGTATATGAACATGTGACAAACATCAGACTCTCTTTAAATCAGAGTTGTGAGGCATTCCTCTGTTATCTCACACACACAAACTTCTGCATGTTTGGGAAGGCCTGCTTGTGTCAAACCTTTAAGCAGTGTGCAATGTATGTTTCAACTAAAGTTTTCATTTTTAATTCATGGGTTTAGAGATCCTATTACCATTTCTGAACAAGCAATGTAATTACAAGTCAACTGCATACATGCAGAGAATAAAAAATAAATGGATTCATGAATCACTAGCAGTTCATAAGAAACAAAATGTCTGTTTTAAAGGAGTACGGCTGTACTAGACGTATTTCAGCTCAGCTGTGTGCAGATGAACTAGCTCACAAAAAGCAAGCCAAACGCTATCACTCTTTCAATTGTGAAACGTAAAGTGCAAATACTACTGTAGGGATCTTGAGTAAGAAACGGAGGGAAAACAAATAATTTCTTCACATTACTTAGGTTACAGAATCAGCATTCGAACATCACAGATCAGAGTAGCCACTTTGCAAGTCCCCTAGCAGACATGCTTTCTGCCTAATGTGAAAGCTTACACAGGGAAGAGAGAGAGATAACTTTCTAATAAGCATATCAGGTTTCTGAAGTATAAAGTGAGACTAATTTACTTTAGCTACCTGATGATCTACAGGTGAGTCTTCTACCATGAAGAATCCTACTTGGCAGCTGACATAAAGTCCACCAAGGGAGGTAATTCCATCTTAACACGTGATTATTGCTTGAAAGTTATCTTTAAAGAGGTGAACTACTACATCAGAGACTGATCATTCTGTGTATCAAGGAGATAGGCTTGATTATATCCATCATTTAGATTATGTATGTTGTTTAATCAAGGCAACTGTCTGAAAAGACAACAAGCACCCACCACCCATCCACTGCCAAATATCTAATCCTTAATATCTTTATCCTAAAAAAAACTTCTTAAAATAATTCTTTTTTAAAGATGAAAAATTGAGACAAAAGGAGATCCTTAATAGGTATTTGGCTTCTTCAGAGGATCACGACTTGACTTACCTGGCTTCACTGAGGAAGTCTGTGGCAGGGTAGGAAAAAAATGCAAATGCCCCAAGACATTGGCCAGTACTGTAACAGCTATAGTATCCTTCTCCTATTGGAAGAAAGAAATTTCATGCCATTATACAAGATAAGTTACTCTGGGGCTTGGAACATGAATCTGCAAAAGCTAGGCTGAAGAATAAAGTCTCAATAACCAGAACATACTAAAGTAAAATTGAAGGATTTGTTCAAAAGTATGAAAGGGTATGACCAGTCATCAAATATCTGTGATCCACATTTTTTCAAATAACATTAATAAGGTGTATTTTTTTCCTTCTGTAGCTTAATATTACTTCCATTTTCGTTATGATTTTGGGTCATGTCCCTACCAAAACCTTTTTTTTCTACGTTTTTCTTTCCATAACACAGTCTTTCTCTGTACTGTAGATCGTGACAGCAGCAGCACGCAGCTGAACTGACACATTCCTAGCATGGCCAAAGCTTCAGATGCGGTGAACAGTGCGGGGAGAAAGCAGTTTGATCTGTTCACAGAAAAACACAGCGAACTGTGGAGACCCTGCAGCCCAAAGCCCAGGTACCTCGACCGCATGTCGCAGTTCTGTTCCCGCGGGGCCGCAGCAGCCCCTTGCTACACACCCCGAGGCAGGGCGACCCCGGGAGCCTCCCGCAGCGCCGCTCCCCACTCGCCCCGCTCATCGTGCCCCGCGCCTTCCCCGCGGCGCCCCCGCCTCCCTCCGGCCCCCCGCGGCGGCCAGGACCGGGCTACCCCTGCCTATGCCCCTGCCAGCGCGGCGCCAGCCCCCGCTCCCCCTTCCCCGGCCCGCCCGGCTTCCCCCGCAGCGGGTGGGGCGCTCCCGACCCGGGGCCCCCTCGCCCCCGGCACGGCTAGGAAGCCCTGCGGGAAGGAAGCGCCCGCTCCTACCCGCCGCCAGCGCAGGGCCCCGCCTACGCTCCTAGCCGCGGGGAGCCGCAGAGGGCAGCGGCAGTTGGGCGGCGCTGGGATTTGTAGTTCCGCGGCCGCAGGAGGGCGGAAGCCAGCACCGCCCTGCCTCAGCCGCCGGCTGATGACGTGCGGGTGACGCGTGGATCCCCGCCGGCCTCGGGGGTCGAGGGTGGGAAGGTGGAGCGCGGCAGCAGGCTCGGGGCGGGTAAGGCGTCCTCGGCGCTGAGCTCGGGTGGCACTGCTGTCCTGCTCCCCTCTCTCTGCCCTGCGCGTTAGCCTCTTCGGGGCCTGCGTTCTCTCTCCCTTGTCCCTTGGGGCCGTCCCCCGCTGAGCGGCGGTGCCGCCGCGGGCACGGGGCGCTGCGGGGGGCGCGTCGCGGCCGGGCGTGCGCTGAGAGCACGGGGCTGGGCCCCCGCTTGCCTGGCCTTGTGGCTCCGGGCGAGCCCTGCTGTCGCGTGTGGCGCATCCTCCCGGGGAGGGAAGGCAAACAAAGAATTCCTCATCCTTTCCTGGGTTGCAATTGGCAGAAATGTTTTGTTTGGTTTTGGGTGGTAATGTAGATGTGCATTAAGTTAAAGCTTTATCCGTTCGATATATATACTTAGACTACAGTCAGGTGCTAGACCCTTGTTAGTGATGGCTGTGACTGCTGGTATGGCAGATGGTATGACCTTCAGCATGCTTTCTAGTTTTCTGTGTTATGAAAATATGGACTCCAAATCACGTGGGCTCTGCTTGGAAGTTCACGTAAAGCTTGATGAAATTTTAATTGTGGTTCATAATACGTATGGTTTTGAGGGCAAGGAAATTTTGGCTTCCATAAACTTTTTAATTGTGGTGTTGCATTCTGATCTTCTGAGTAAACTGTAATAATAGCTTTTTTCCTGTCAGCCACCCTAGTGACAAAGTGGTGTATGGAGTTGCAACCTTGTATTTATTTATTTATTTTTAAAGGAATCTATCTACAGGCTGTTGAAAACATATTTGTTCTGTCAGAGATACTGTTGACGGATTGTGAGAATGCAATGCAAATACCTCCTCTACTAGGAAATAACTTTTGACACAACATGTTATAAGGTAGCATAGCAGGTTAGCTTTCATATACTTGTTATTTTCATATAAAGGTGTATTTCCAAGTAAAAATCTGTTGACTTCTTAAGGTTTTGGTCGTTGGTGCAATGATAACCATTCACTAAAGCCTGCAACTAGCTGATTTTATTTAATTACTTATGCGTGGCTGCTAAGAATGTTATGTAGGAAATACTGAAGTTCATCTGTTATTTTCTGTTCATATATTTTCACCACTAGTCATAGTATAACTAGAATTTAATTTATTTTGCCAGAAGGAGGAAGGAAAAAAGTAGAACAGATATATGGAAAGCTGGATCTCATTAATTCCATTGTCTAAAGGAGAGCCTGTTAGTCTTTTTTTCCATCTTTCCAGTTCTTTTCCACAACTAAGACTATCTGACTGGATGCGCAGACAGGGGATAATGTGATACCTTAGATGTGAAGGTATTTGGCACTCTGTTCGTATTGGTAGAGCCAGACATCATCTTGTTTGTTTGGAGGTACACTGGTTCTAAAGACTTCAGGAAACATAAAGGAAATGAACTGTAGACAACTAGTAAATAATGCTTTTCAATCAGATAAGTGTGCTCAATATTTATTTCTACTACTGTGTTTCTTGACTACATTGCCTTTGCTTTGAATCTCTGTTTTCTTGCTGTTGGTATGTATACATTTCAGGGAAGTTAAGTAGGTTGTTTACCTCATTCTTGTACTGAAAGTGTGCATACTTTTTTTTTTTTTGCTTGCTTGCTTTTAATTGTGCTTCTAATATAGCAGGCAATATGAAAACAATGAATTACTAATACCTGAAATTTGACAGCTCTTTAGTGATGGTGTCCTCTGTTAGAACTCACACACAGAATCACATATATTTTCAAATACTTACTCATTATAGAAATTTGATAAACTGATACAGTTTACAAATTTCTATAATGAGTGTTTGAAAATATAACTTAAGGAGTAGAGTGCTGGAAAATCACAGGCATTTCTGTTGATATTTTACATCTAATATAATAGAGGCCTTGCTGTGGTGAATATTGTGCAGTTGAAAGGCAATATTTTAGGAGGGATAAACGTGATTTGTTAATAGTTTTCCAAGAAGATAAAAAAAATAACATTTTCATAAAGACATTTACAAAAGAGATGACAGATCCTTTTATCTGGTTGGATTACTAGCAGTACTCTGGTGACTGGGTCTTATAGGTCAGTCTGGTTTATTTTAATAAATACAGAATTGTAACTGTTAAAATGCTGAGCACTAGCTGGGGTGTATATTAAGAACTTTAAATCACTTTTTTGACTGAATTCAGCCTGAAAACGTTAGTGATTTTAGTGGAAAACGTTACGCTCATTTGAAGTATATAAGTATACTTTATAGACAAAAAGATTAAATTTTTGAAGAACCTCTAACAAATTTTTAATGAAATACTAGCACAGCACTTGCCTCATGAGTGTATATCACATTTTTATACTCCCTAATCAACAAATACTGGATTCATGACAGTTCTTTTTTTCTTAAAAAAAAAAAAAAAAGTAACTAAAAGAAGAAATAAAATCTACCTGCAAGAGATAAACGTATATGCGTAGTAATGTTTTGATTGTGCATTTATGGAAAAGAAGTAGTAATTAAAACTTGATATGGGTATTTCATGTGGGTAGCATTCATCGTTTCAGTTGAAGACAGAATTCTATTAAGGATATGTTATTTTTACATTGTGTGGTAAGGGTGATATAGACAACCTCCAAGCATGGAGGACTTGCCAAAGACCTTGCTATCAAACTATCATATGCAGCAGCGTACATGTACATATACATAAAGCTTATATACCTGTACTTATTTTTTGTTTGTTTGTTTGTTTTTCCCACTTAATGGTAATACACATATTATTGCAAATGACTGACAAGGAGAAAAAGTCACAGAATCACAGAATCATTTAGGTTGGAAGAGACCTCCAAGATCACTGAGTCTAACCTGTGACCTAACACTAGCAAGTCCTCCACTAAACCATATCATTAAGCTCTAAGTCTGAATGTCTTTTAAAGACCTCCAGGGATGGTGACTCCACCACTTCCCTGGACAGCCCATTCCAATGCCTCACAACCCTCTCAGTAAAGATCTTCCTACTATCCAACCTAAAACACCCCTGGCGCAACTTTAGCCCATTCCTCCTCATCCTGTCACCAGGCACGTGGGAGAACAGACCAACCCCACCTCGCTACAGCCTCCTTTAAGGTATCTGTAGAGAGCAATAAGGTCGCCCCTGAGCCTCCTCTTCTCCAGGCTGAACAAGCCCAGCTCCTTCAGCCGCTCCTCGTAGGACTTGTTCTCCAGGCCCCTCACCAGCTTCGTTGCCCTTCTCTGGACCCGCTCAAGCACCTCCATGTCCTTCTTGTAGCAAGGGGCCCAAAACTGAGCACAGTGCTCGAGGTGCGGCCTCACCAGAGCCGAGTACAGGGGGACAATCACTTCCCTAGCCCTGCTGGCCACACTGCTTCTTATGCAAGCCAGGATGCTGTTGGCCTTCTTGGCCACCTGAGCACACTGCTGGCTCATATTCAGCCGACTATGAACCATCACTCCCAGGTCCTTCTCTGACAGGCAGCTCTCCAACCACTCATCTCCCAGCCTGTAGCACTGTTTGGGGTTGTTGTACCCCAGGTGCAAGACCTGGCACTTGGCCTTGTTGAACTTCATACAATTAAAGTGAGTCTGTCTTGGCTTAAGTCTGGATGAAAAGCCTGAGAGAACTGTGAGAGCTTTGTGACCCTCTTGATATTCGCCATTTTCCAAGATGTGTTCTCCAGCTTTCCTTCTGAACCCTTACCCACACCACAAATTCAAAAAAATCCAGGCAGGACATGCATGGGGTTCTATTTTTGTTCTGTTTTTTTTTTTTTTTTTTTTTTTTTTTACAGTTCTTTTCATATATCAGTTTCTTGATGTTATAACTGTGTATAGTTAAGATTTGCTTATGGTTATTTAGTAGTATATTGTTAGGATTGTCTTTGCTTAGTCTTTAAAAGGATTTTTTTTCCTCACATGAGAGGAAAATCAAACACTTACTAGGTTTCTGTAGGGATGGTAATGGCTGAAAGCAACATTGGTGTTAGGAATGCAGCAAGTGTTAATTGTGATAGAAAAAGTTCACACAGACTTGTTTTTCAGTATAAGTTACTTTGTTTTCCATCTCCTGCTATGTACTGTTAGAGGATTTGTTCTCTGCCTCTGAGCAGTAGTCCCAGGAATGTTTTGGCAGCAATTCAACGTGGACATGTTTGCTATAAGAATAGAACTGTTTCATTAACCTTGAAATGCAAAATATTTTTTCTGGTTACTAGCTGACTTGACAGCATTTCAATTGTAATAATAAAAAGTAGTGTGTTTAATGACTTGATAAAATTGTTTTTATATTATATATTAAACTAGCAGTAAAATTCAGAATTCTAGAATAATTGTCTCGTTCATTTGGCTTCCTTTTGGAAAATTAATTTAGAATCTTCTTCATTGTTGAAATTTTATTTGTGTTAGGTGTGGCCTGTTGTCTCGTATCCTATAATTGCACAGAAGAACAAATCTAGTTTAGTCTTTCCAAGTTCTGGTGAGGAGTCAATTGCTCTCAAATGGAAAACACAGTATATTTATATAACAGTATATTTATATTTCAGTTTGGATGATGTCAAAATAGATGACATATTTTGAATATGTTTTTTGAATATGTTTGAATATGTTTTTAAGTTTTTATGCATGAAGAAATGAACACATACATTTGTTTGTATAG